GGCGGCGGCGCCCGCGGGTACCGCGCGCCCCTCGCCGCTCAACACGTCGCCGACCATGGCGGCCGCGACGAGCCCAACGGCCAACCCCGTGTCGCTCGACCTGAGCCTCAACGGCATGGAGTGGGCGCTGCCCGACAGCGGCATCTTCCGCACCGACCTGTTCGACGACGAGATGCACCTCGCAGACGACCTTGCCGCAGCAGCGCCCGAGGCGTCGTCGGGCACGCCGCTCGCGTCGGCCAAACGCGCGGGGACCGAGTCGACCGACTCGCTGGCGACGACGCCGACCAAGCGGCAGATTCTGCAGGTCGGGTTCCCGCTGGCGCTGGCCATCTGGCAGGTGTTCGAGGTGTGGGTGACGCAGTACGTGGGCGGCGGGTCGCCGAACCTCGCGGCGGCGATCCTCGACGAGCAGCGCGTCATTGTGTCGTCGCTGGTCGCGACGCACGCCGACGTGGTGCCCGGCAGCCTGCAGGCGACGGCTGACGTCGCGGACCTGGCGAGCTACCTGGTGATCCCGCCGGTCGCGGACCTCGACCCGCTCGGCTCCGCGGGCGTTGCGGGCGACCTGTTCACGGCGGCGTTCCACGTGCAGGCGAAGCGGTCGCAGTGCACGCTGTTCCTCCTGATCGACCAGATGACGGCGGACCCGACGTCGGTGACGCCCGCGGCGATCGCGGCGGCCAAGGCGGCCGGGTTCGCGCTCGAGGCCGAGGCCACGGCGTGCCACGATCTTGCGCGGCTCGTGCGCGACCACCGCGCCGTGTTCGGGCCCGGCGACGAGGTGTCGCCCGACCTCATGGCGATTCCGGCACTTCGGTCGCCCGACTCGCCGCAACTCCGGTTCCGCCGCCGGTCGTCGATCCCCAAGGTGCCCGGGTCCGACGCGATTGCGGCTGCGGTGCGTGCCCGCGAGGCTGCTGCGGCTGCTGCCGCTGCGGCGACCGCCGAGCCCGGCAGCGGCGTCGTGTCGTTCCACGAGGACAGCGTCCGCAACAGCGTGCTGACGTACGCGGTGCTCGACCTGCACCGGCGCCGCGCCGTGGCCGCCGCCGACGTGGACGAGGTCCCGCTGGCGCTCCCGCTCGCGGACATCGAGCAGCTCGTGCCGGCGTACCTGCGCAGCCTGCGTCTCGAGGAGCAGCGCGCGCGGATCGGCGCGTGGATTGTTGCGGCCGCAGCGTCCCACCACCACCACCACCACCACTACCCGTCGCGCAGCACGTCGCCGCACATCCGCGTCAGCGGGACGAGCAGCGTGACGGGTGGAGCGGCGGCCACGCTCGGGCCCGACTTCCTCACGGCCACGGCCGCGTCGCTCCGCGCCAAGCTCGGCGTCGAGGCCTTCTTCGAGCAGCAGCCGTAGGTCGCCGTCGCCGCAGTCGCCCAGCCCAGCCTGGCGCGCGGCAGAGTAGCCCGTGTTGTACATACCCTCCCTCCTTTGACTTCATTGCCGTCCTTGCACCTGTCCTGTCCCTCCACCTGCCTCCAGCACATTTGTTGTTGTTGCCTGATCCGCCACGGTCTCTGCGGCAGCGACGCCACGACGACGGCGCGATGCTGCGCCGCCGCGCGCGAGCCACCGAGCGAGGCGCATGCGGGCCCATGCGCGGCCGGCATCCCCTCGATCGAGACGACGAGAGCGGCCGAGCAAAATCCTGCGGGGAGGTTCCCAGCGGGACACCACAGGGCGGCGCCGGGCCTGGTGCCGTGAGGCTTAGCGTGGCCTCCGCTCGCCGCCCCCATGGCCGCCGCGGCTCTCGCTCCCTCTCTCCTCTCGTGCGGCCATAATACCCCGCTTCTGCAACGTATCACCATCGCCAAGAGTGACGCTGGCTCGTCGCATTCCCATCTGCGCCACGCCGCCGCCGATCCGTTGGACCCTTGACGCCACCCTCAAGAATGGAGCTCACCACCGGCATCGCATGGGCGCTGACGGTGCTGACCGTGACGAGCCTGGTCGGCACCGCGCTGCTGCACCTGCGCGTGCGCAGCAAGCTGCGGCGCAAGCTCGCCAAGCTGCGCGGCCAGCACGTCGTGGTGATCGGCGCCAGTTCCGGCACGCACGCCCACGTCGGGTCCCTCGCACGGCGGTCGCTCACCCAACGTTCCGTGTAGGCGTCGGCGAACAAGTCGCCTACGAGTACGCCCTGCGCGGCGCGCGCCTCGTCGTCTCAGCGCGGCGGGCCGACCGCCTTGCCTCGGTCCGGGAACGGTGCCTCGAGCTGGGCGCCGCGGACGTGCTGATCGCGCCGTGCGACGTGACGTCCGTATCCTCGCTGCGCGCGCTGCACACGGCCGCCACCGACTTCCTGCGCGGCACCGTGCACGCCGTCATCTTCACGGCGGGCGCGCTGACCGTGTGCCCGTTCGACGCGCTCATGGACCCAGACGTGTCGGACACCGACGCGGCGGCCGTCATCGACCGCGCCTTCGCCATCAACGCGACGGCGCCGATCCACGCCGCGCGCCTTTTCCTGCCGACGCTGCGCGCAACCGCCGATGGGCGGAAACGGTCGAGCGGGCTGTCCGGGAGCGTGACGCGGCCCGCGCTCACGGTCGTGTCGAGCGTCGCGGGCCTGCTGCCCGCGCCCTCGCGCGCCCTGTACTGCGGCGCCAAGGCCGCGCTGCACGGCTTCTTCGACTCGCTGCGCATCGAGGAGCGGCGGCGTGCCGGCCCGCGCGCCGTGCGGATCCAGCTCGTGGCCCCCGGCACGATCGCGGGGACCGAGCTCCGCGCGACGGCGGTCGACGGACACCTGTGGCGCGACGGGATGCCGACGGGTACCTCGCGCGGCGCGCTGTCGACCCAGGACGTCGCCCGCGCAGTGTTCCACCAGACCGAGGACCTCGTCGTGCTCCCGCGATGGTACGAGGGCGCCGTCCTCCTGCGCCATGTCTGGCCGTCGCTTGTCGATGCCCTCGCTATGAAAAAGTACCAGTAGCGGAGGTGGATCAGTCACTGTATACATATATTTTGCATCTCGATCAAGTCGGCTTCGGTTTCTGGTCCGCGTACAGCCTGTGGCTGAACTCGAACCGCGGCGCCAGCGTCTTGGCGAACGGCGAGTGCGACGCCTCGGACGCGGCCGCCGCCGCGACCGCCGGGGGCATCATCGGCGGCGGCGCGGATCTCAGGCCCGCCGAGACCGCGGCCGGGTGGGGCGGCGTCGCCGCCGTTGTCGCGGACATACCCGCCGCCGAGGACGCTGCATCGGCCGCCGCCGCCGTGGCCGCGGCGTGGTGCGGGTACGCTGCCGCGAGGCGCGCCATGTGCAGCTGCGGCGAGATGGTGCCCGCGTGCGGCGAGAGGCCGAAGGGCGACCCGGCAAGCTGGCGCAGCGGCGCGGGGGTCTGGCGCGTGACGCGGGACATGCGCCAGATGCCCGACCCGAGGACGCCGCCGCAGATGGCACCCGTCAGCGTGCACACGACGTTGAAGGCCTCGGGGTTCTCCTCGAGCCCGGACATGAGGTTCATGCCGAACAGCGACGCGAGCAGGGCGCCCGACGTGCACGCGACGCCGAACATGGCGAACTTGATTTCGAGGATCAGCAGGGCGTTGCGCTGCGAGTCGAGCGTCAGCGTGATGAACCGCTCCGTCGACTGCACCTGCTGGATCATGGCGGCGGTCGAGTCGAGCAGCTCCTCGGCGTACGACAGGTACGTCTCCATGAGCAGCTCGAGGTCGTCGTAGTTGTCGACCGTCTCGCCGCGCCCGTGCCGCGTCAGGTGCATGTCGACCATGTCCTCCTCGGTGTCGAGCAGCTCGCGCACCACGTCGCGGATGTTGCTCACCTTCTGCTCGAACGCCGACAGCCGGTTCGTGTACACGTACAGCTCGGCCAGGTGGTCGCGCTGCCGGTCAATGTACTTGCGGTCGCCCTCGACCAGCAGCCGCACCAGCACGTCGATCGGCCGCGCCAGATCGCGCAGCTCGTCGTCCAGCGTCGCCAGCACGTTCTGCAGGATCGTCTCCAGCACCACAAACTCGAACGGGAGCACCGCGTCGTCCGCGTCCGCCGGCGCCTGCGCCCCGCTGCCGCTCTCGGCGCGGAACGCGGACATTTCGGCCGACCACGCGGCGAGCTTGTGCTGCAGCGCGGGTACGAGATCGTCCTCGACCGCCTGATGCCCCACTGCGTCGACCCCGCTCGCCGCTGCCACCGCGACGGGCATCGTCGGGTGGTTGAACAGAATCACGCGGCCGGGCTTGATGAGGGCGCGGACGTGGTGCAGGTTGATGACGATGGCGCGCTCGCGCGGCAGGATCGCCGGGTACTGGTCCTGGAACCGCGAGTCGAGCTTGCGCAGGTCGCGCGTCTGCAGCCCGTTCTGCTTGCAGAACGCCAGCTTGGCGTACGTCCGCTGCGCTTCGGACACGCTGCCCGTCGCGTCGATCGTCGTGCCTACCAAGTGCGGGCGGCGTGAGTGGGGTTTGGAAGGCGGGGTGAACTGGACGGTACGTACACCGCCACGAGATCTCGGCCGTCGACGGTGTCCGCAAACAGGGGTCGATGAACCCATTGTGCCGCGACCACGCGTCGCCGCTGAACGCCGACAGGCTGTGCGGCGCGCCGTGGAACTGGCGCGGGCCCGCGACAGAGCGAGCAGGGCCCGCGGTCGCCATGGACCGGTTGCCGCGAAGTCCCCAGGGAAGCAGCCGCGGGTGCTCGTGATCCACCTCATCTGCCTGCCTGCACGAAACCGTCGACGATAGCGCGACCCGCCTTGGCGCCGCGGAACTCGGCCATGGCGGGCGACTCAGTGTCCTCGCAGCAATGCGGGAAGTGCGGCAGCAGTTCATTAGCATCATGGTGGCGGTTGTGGAGGGCGATTCGCGCGGGCGACGGTCATGTCAACATCGCGGCGATCACGCGTGGTGGCTTAGCCATGAGACGCGCGTGCTTTCCTCGCCAACTCTCTGCTCGCGCGCCGACTGTCAACGCGTTGAGGTTGGCAAGAAGGACACTCGGAACAAAAGAGTCGGGAGCAAAATTTGCACGCACCGGGAATCGAACCCGGAGCTCTACCTTGGGAGGGTAGAATTTTACCATTAAACCATGCGTGCTCGCGAGCTCCAAGTACTGCGGTGTCTTGAACTTAACCACCTCGCGGTCAACCTCGACATCACCTCGTGGATCATGGCGCGACGATCGATGACACGCGGCAGTCTGGGCATCGCCGAGGTCCATCTCGGTGATGAACTTCGCCAAGCGATCGCGTACCCGCCGGCTGACGGGTCGGTGCTCCTCGACGGTGATGAGAACGGAATCGAGCTGTAGGGTGTGACGGCGCTCTTCAACGCTGACGAGAACCTGATCATGACCGCTTGCGACGCGGAAGGATACGGTTACTACAAGAACCAGCTCCGCGTGAACGGCGAAGGCTCTCGCGGTCCGCGTCTTCGATCGCAACGGCGCGTTTGAGCAGGATCCAGAAGTACGTCGGCGGCTCAGCCGACTTCTTGGATGCTTCGACCTGTCGGGCCTCGCCCTCGACAGCATCGACGCGAAGCGCCCGGCTCGGCGGCATGGCCTTCCGTGCAAAGTCACATTCACATTGTACATCCCCCGCCTTGATTGCTCAACTTTCCGAGACGCGAAACGACCCGTCGTTCTGCTTCATCCTCATGAAGAACCGGTACATGGCGCGCCGATCGATCGCCTTCCACGCGTCGGGCTCACGCGTGATCGCGAGCGCGTGGACCGCGGCGTACGTCGGCGCGAGGTGCGCGATCTGGCCGAGCCCGCCGCCGAACCCGCCCGTCGCGCGCTGCTGGAACCGCAGCACCGTGGTCGCGGCGCGCAGCCGCAGCGCCTCGGGCAGGCCGTGGTCCGCCGACAGCAGGTCCAGCGCGTGCAGCAGCCAGTACACGAGCCACGGGCGCGACGCGCTCAGCGCCGACATGTACGCCGGCAGCGCGTCCGCGTTGCGCTGCACGTACCGCTGGTGCCGCGCGCGGCGCAGGAGGAGCGGGTCGGAGCCGTCTTCGGCGTCGGTCGCATCGGAGCGGCGGGTGCCGGCCCCGTCGGACTCGTCGGTCGGTGAAGCGACACGCGAGGCGGTCGCGGACCGCGCCTTGCGCAGCGCCGCCAGGTACTCGCCGTAGATGAGCTCCTCGACCTCGGCCTACGCTCACGTCAGGCTGGTCAGTGCCCGCTCGGAAGTCGCGATGGGGAGGGCGCGGTGAGACCAACCTGTGCGTCGTGCGAGTGCGACGGACAGTCCTCGTCGGACGTGAAGAAGAGCGCGCACTCGGCCGCCGTGAATCGCATGGTCGGGTCGGGTACGTTGCAAGAAGTCACGGCGCGAGCAAACGATGCATGGGCTCAGAGGCGCGCGTTAACGTCGTCATCGACGCGACCGCCGCGAGCTTGTCGCTTCGCGCGCTGCTTCGCGCCACCCAATGCCGCAGCGGACGCGGTACCCGCACCCGCTGACGCTCCCTACTGCCTGCTGGGCTGCACGGCGACGACGGCGCTCGCGCGAGATGGGCGGGCTCTCACTGCTGCTGTCCTCATCGCGTGCACTGCCCTGACTGGACGGACGGCTCAGACACACCGATGGCTGGAGCGATCGTCGCTCTCGCCTCCGCTGATCCTCCCCGTCCACCGTCTGCGACGACCTGATCGAGCGGCCCTCGAGCGAGGAGCTCCGTTCGCACCCTCCTGCCCGGTCCTGACGCACGCTCGCCGCCGGCCATCGTCGGGTGGGCGGGAGGGACACTTTGCGAGTGACGCGGATCCCAGCGTGAGGACCCTGAGCCCCGAGCTGCGGCAGCGGCACCGGCGGACCGCGCGCCGCGACGCGTTTCGCTCGGTGGCGTTTCTACGGAGACGCAGACGAAACGGCGCGCGGCGGGTGTGCCGCAAAGCGTGGGGCGGCCGGCGACTATAAAGCGCGCCGACCTCCCCGCTACCTCTCCTCTCTCTCTCCACCCATCCCATCCAACGTAGCTCATCTTGCACACATCATCAAAAATGGTTAACGCCGCAGTTTGCTTTGGCCTCAACTACGCCGGCACCGACAACCCGCTGTCGGGCTGCGACATCGACGCCAACACCATGACCAACGTGGCGTGCGGCATGGGCATCGACAACGTCCAGACCGTCACCGACACCGATGCGCCCGTCACCCGCGAGGACATCCTGCAGAGCCTCCGCGACATGGTGGCCCAGGCCGAGCCCGGAGACACGCTCATGTTCTCGTTCTCGGGCCACGGCGGCCAGGTCGCCGACAGGAACGGCGACGAGGCCGACGGCCAGGACGAGGCCATCTACGCCGCCGACGGGCCCATCACCGACGACGAGATCCGCGCGATCATGGCCGACCTGCCCGAGGGCGCCAACATGACCATGGTGTACGACTCGTGCCAGTCGGGCACGATCGTCGACCTCGACTTCAGCGACGCCGACATTGCCGGCAACCTCGTGGTCCTGTCGTCGTGCTCGTCGACCGAGCTGTCGGGCGCCACCGCCAACGGCTCGCTCTTCACCAACGCCATTGCCGAGGTGCTCGCCAACAACCCGGGCATCACCTGGGCCGAGGCCGCCAACCTCATCGACCAGGCCGACGGCAGCGACACGCAGTTCGCCAACGTGGCGGCCAACCGCACCGAGCTGCTGTACGAGCCGGCCTTCGCGCCTGCCGAGGACGCGGCCCGCGACGCGTCGGCCGAGGTCGGCGACATTGGCTCGGCCGTGGCGGTCGAGATCATTGACGGCAACGAGGTGCACATCGAGCGGTTCCAGGGCGGCGCCGAGATCCGCTCGGTCGACACGGACGGCGACGGCACCGCCAACGTGATCGCGTACACGTCGGCCGACGGGTCGGTGCAGCTCGAGGGCGACGTGACCGGCGACGGGTCGCAGGACGCGGCTGCGCGGTTCGACGCCGACGGCAACCTGACCATGGCGGCCTACGACGCGGACGGCGACGGCTACTACGAGACGCAGCTGCACGCCAACGACGACGGCTCGGTCACGGTCGGCGTCTACGACCGCAACGGCAACCTCACGCAGAACCTCGACCAGGACGGCGACGGTCTCGTCGACGCCAACACGGATGTGAACGGCGATGGCTCGGCCGACCTCCCGGCTGGCTTTGACCTCACGGGCCTCGCCCTCGACGGCATCCACGCGACGGGCGCCGAGCTCGGCGGCATGGACCACGGCGACATGTGCTGCTAAGCGATTGTCGCGTTTACACTGTATATACATCGTTTGCACATCTCCCATTGGCTCTCTCGTCGTGCGAGTTGATCTGGTCCGCGCTTTTGAGCTCGTCCAACAACTTTCGGACAACTCGGCATTTGGTGCTGGCGAACCGCCTCCAGATCGGAGAGTCCACGGCCTTTGTTCGCCTACAGAGCTGCCAGCTTGACACGTTGGTGCGGACGAGCAAGGGAGGAACACGCGCGCGCAGCGGGGGTGGCTCAACTCTGACCAAAGACGCGTTGCGGACGCGACAGCACATCAATCAACCATGCAAGGAAAACAAGAGAAAACGAGGTATATGTAGAAGAACAAAAGAAAACTAGAAGCCAATACGGCTGAACGCAAACAGGTAGTAGAGCACCTCGGACGCGTCGCGGTCGACGGCCGGCTGGCGCTCCCACGCCTTGTAGTCGCACCCTTCGTACACGTCAACGCCCGTGAGGTGCAGCACCGCCAGCGACGCGAGATTGCGCGCCGCAATGCCGGCCTCGTAGTTGCCGAACTGCACGTGCGCGTCGTGCACGCGGCCCATGTACCGCATGTACGCCCAAAAGTCGGCCGCCTGCTGCTCCGTGCGGAACGCGGTCTCGGCGACACTGCTCCCGCCGCTGCCCTGCTGCTGCGGCTCCGACCGACGACGGTGGCACCGCAGCATCGGCGTAATCTTGGCGTCCAGCGCCTCCATGGCCGATCGCAGGAGCGGGGAGCGGAGGAGCATGTCGCGGGGGACCTCGCGCGGGAGCAGCTTGTCGTTGGCCGGGTCGAAGCGCGGCGCAATGTGCTGGTACACCTCGCGATGCTCGCGGAGCACGGCGGCAATCTGCTGGATGGCCGCGGGCGAGAGCGCCTGCTTGGCACGGAACTCGGCGAGCTGCGGGCCGAGAAAGTCGAGGAGGACCGCGGGCATGATCTCCTCGACGCGGCCGAGCGCCTGGTGCTCCCAGATGCTCTGGTCCGGGTACTGGTCCGACGCGCCGCCAAAGAAGCGGGCCGAACCGAGCTTGTACTCGTCGAACAGCCGGTCAATCTCGGCGGGGCGCTCGCCGCACACGCCGGGGCACGCGAGCGGGTCGCCGTTGCGCGCCATGGACTCGAGCGTCGCCGCGAGACCCGTCAGCGGGGCAGCCTGCCGCTGCTGGCTGCAGCGGCGACTGCTCAGCAGCTGCCCGAGTCGCGAGGCGGCGCGGTTGCCGGCGGTCGCCGTCCCAACCGCGGCGCGGCGAACGGCGTACGAGGCCGACTGGGCCGCGTGGCGAACCGCGGCCGCGGCGGCCGTCGCATGCGCGTGCACACGACGCACACCGGCCGCGTTGCTGATGTTGAACTTGGACCCCGTCGGCGAGTCGCACTGGATGCGCTCGGCCGAGTGGGTCGGGGTGGTGGCCAGGACGCCCGAGTCGGCGAGGTTGCCGACGTGGTAGGCGAGCGGCTGAATTTGCTGCTCCTGGGTCTTGGCGGCCATCGTGGGACGGCTGGCCGAGGCGAGGAACGTGTTGGGCGCAACTGCAACCGAGGCGGCGGCGAGGTTCTTGGACGGAACCGGGGCCGCCATGGGAGCAGTGCGGGTCGACGAGGTCGAGAAGACGGGCGCGCGAGCACGGATGCCAGTCGGGAGCGACATGATGCTGAGGATGGGCGACATGATGATGAAGTTCCGTGTGGCAATGTGGTGCGCGGGCGCGAGTGTTCTTGTCGTCGTCGATGGTCTTGTACGGGAGTGTACAAGGGCGTACTCGAGAAGTTGTGCTTGAGGGGCAAACTTGAGAGTACAGGGGAGGGCACCTAACGATACCGGGTTGGGGAGCGAGGAGGGAGGAGTGGGGGATGGGCCTTGCTTTTGTATTCGAGCGGC